GGGGGGGGGGGTAGGTTGGAGCAGATGAAGGGTGAAAATATTAAGTGGGGGACTTTTCGGGAGGGGTGTTAGCTGGCTAAATATGGCCATATGAGGTGATTCCAAAATACTTGTGAGTAATTTTGTCATGCCAGGTGCCTGGCTCTGTGTGGGGGTGGGGTGTGGTGGTTGTTTGTGTTGGGTCGGTAGGCACAAGAATTATTAGTAACCCTTACCTCACTCATTCTATTGCTGCTTTCTTTTATAATTTTATGTAAAGAATATAGAGTACATTATAAATACCAAATTGTTAAAATTTATCTATGTTACATACTCATTTCTGTTGAAATGATTCAATAAATGTATTATTTTTTTAGAGTTACGGTGAATCGTTCGAGTCTTCTTCAGGAAGTGAAGATGAACCAACTGAAGAGTTAAACTCTTGTATTGAAAAGCTGCGCGACATCTGTGGTCCAGATATACCACGTAGCGCCCTCGTCGGCCTTGTCATCGCTGCAGACTATGATGTCAACAGAGCAGCCAACCATTATTTTGCTCAAAATTGATGCTATAAGAAATTTGATAAAGACTGCCCTTTTGTAGCTGTTCGTTTCCAAGTAGATTGAACATTTTTTCCTTAGACGATCCAACTTACCACGGAGAGGGTAGGAAAGTTATCTCACTCATAGACTACCAACATCACAATCGATTTTTGTAATTTGTCCAAACATGGTTGTTTAAAAAATGGACACTGAGATGTAATTTCTGGTAGTAATTATTCCATAATAGAATAGTTTCTATAATCTTATAATTTAAATATAGTATAAAACAAATGTGGGCCGAATTGTTTGAAGGCTGAATTGGTTATGAGCTGAGCTGGGCAAATGTCAAGGTAGCAAGGGTGGAGTTGGCATGGACAAGTTAAGAATGGCTGAGTTAGTGTATTGGCTAAGTTATTAGCAGAGGGTGATTTGGCCAAGGGACAATTATGAACTGAGGTGTGATATGGTCCAATTTTGCGTAATGTTTTGTGTAGTATATGTTTTTCTTAAAACCTCCAAACACAGCATCTTTACTGTATATATGGGCATACAACAATTTTCATCAAAGAAAATTTGATAATCTTGACAAAGATCTAGTAAAAAAAGATCAAATAAGTTACCAACTTTCATTGAGACAAAGAAAAACAATCGTTTTTATTAATTATTGACTTTTTAACTACAAAAAAAAAGAAAAAACAAAAAGAAACCTTTTAGTTGATTGTTAAGAAGATTGTTAAATGATGACTGATAATGTAAGTTAAAAGATATGAAAATAATATATAGAAATTATATTTATTTCAGCTGAAAATGACATTTTACAAATCAAAGCCTAAGTGCCAGATTGCGTATAATTACCAATAAATCAGTTTATAGTTTCAAAAGTCCCAAATGTTCGAGAAACTGCCGTAGGCAAGCAGGAGGTTGTAAGATTTAGATTCAAATGCGAAAGATCGTGAGATTCTTCAGGAATAGTAATTTGTTGAAATACTGTATGCGACTTGCAAACCAGTTGGTTTTCTTTGCTGTCATGGATATTGTGTTTTTATTTAAAATTTGAAGATGCCGATGTATTTCCTGATAAGACATGATTAAATAATATACTTTACATTAGTTCCAATAATGGACCAAAATTATGGTACTGTAATTTTTTAAATAATTATTTCTGATGTATGAGAATTTAACTGATGTGTCCAATGATTGACATATGCCTTTAGGAATAATAGCGTGTGAAACTATTCTTGTTTTGTTTGTTGGTGGCGTCGTATGTAAATAACGAACAATTCCCCTTATGCACCAAGCAGAATAGTAGCAGTCATTTTATTATTTATGTGTTTGAAAATAAATACAGATAAGGCGCGATCTACAAATTATCCCCAACGACAGAAACGGGTTTGGAAAAACTATACTACACACGCGTCTGGGAAAACGATCATCTAATTATTGTGCCTCATGAATATTAATAAGCTAAGCCAATATTTCAGAGACACGTCCGAACGGGGTTGTGCAGTTTAACATGTTTTCCATTATTCCTATTGTTTTCAATGACAAACGCGTCTGTGTCGTTGGACCAGGTCCCGGTTGAACTTGTGTTTTCGTACGTATTTAAGATGGGCCTATATTATCTGAGATATCTTGTTCTGTCAGGGAGATATTCATTAGGTAATTCATATTTATATGTTGTATATTTAATTTTCAGTGAACACAAAAGATTGTAGAAAAATGTATTTCTGTACAAATTTCATTTAAGATATAAGGATGCACACAAATTAACAAGCCATTGTAGTGTTGTGCAATAAATATGAAATTAATTTTAAATAGCAAAGTGTCGTTTGATTTATTGTGTGTTAAATAATATAATTATAATAAGATGTTGATGGTAATGTTGATGATGACGAGAGTGCTCTCTAAAGCGGGCCAAGTGTTAAAAAAGTTCCCATAATCGGTTACCATTGTATGTATATCTACTGTATATACTAATATACATATGCTGTCTCTTA